TCAAATCAAGAAGGTCCCCTGGGGCCTCTGTTATACACACAGTCGCCATTGGTCAGCGTGGAACCTCGGTCAGTCACGGGTGGGGTTGGCTTGGCTTTTCACCAACAGGTAAACTGAGGCTTGAGACTTTGAAAGCTAGGATCCTGGTCTTGGCTTTCAGCGCCTACCCATCCACCCCTGTATCCCGAGATTGGAGGCAGTAGGGACTCACGCAAGTACCAACTTCACCTCCCCACCCCACCCTACCCATCTATTAGCCAACGTTACCACCTGTCAGATCCCAAACCCAACTCAAACTCACTGCCATCGAGTCCGTGCTGACTCATAGTAACCCCCGTGGGTTTCCATGACTGTAACTGTTTACAGGAGTAGAAAGCTCAGTCTTTCTCCCGCAGAGGTGCTGGTGGCTTTGAACTGCTGTCCGTGCGGATCATAGCCCAATGGGTAACCTCTACATAAACAGATCACTGGCCAAAAAAATACAGCCAAGTGCCTTCACCTTTTGCTCACACAGAGGATACTTCGTGACTACTGCACCTACCCCTTCCCCACCTACCTGACGACCCTGGGTCTCTGAGGGACCCCAGACTATCCTTTCTGACTTCTCCCCTCCCCTCCGTCCCTGGGGCAGGATCACACCCTCTTCCTGGGCCCAGGGACATGCTCGAAACTCACCAGGTCAACCCTCTCCCACTCACCGACCGCTGGCTGCTGGTGATGACAACGGGCCTGGTTCTTGGCCCTGCCCAGGGGCGCCACCGCCCGACCATACCTGCCACATCTCGGGGGCCCCTCTGCCTGTCTCAGGGTGTCCTGGTGACACCCTGTGTGATAACTGCCAGGCATGCTAGAGAAATACGGGCAGAGGTGGGTGTGGGGAGTAGGCTGGGTCCCCAAAGCCCAGAGGCAAGAGGCGAAGTATCGTTTCTGGACATGTGGGGCAACTGGGAGAAGTAACCACCTGCAGGAGGGGGTAGGGGCGCTCCTGGGAGGGCAGAACGGGGTGAGGGTCTTCATGGGAAAGTCTTGAGAGGACACGCTGTCTCCCACAGGGCACCCATGTGTGGGCTTCCCAAAGGTGAGGCTAGTTTCCCATCTTTTTGACCCACTCTCCACTGCAACCCCCTCCCTCCAACTCTCTCTCTCTCTCTCTCTCCTGGACCAGGGCCAGCTCCAGGCAGTGATGACGAGACAATGCCCCACCACCACCCACCCAGGGCACCGTCCCTTTGCACACCAGAAGCTCCGCAATGCCCACACCTCTGCTCCCATAGACTCACAGTCTGGGAAGCCCACCAGGCCATCCTTCCATGTCCTGTAGGGTCACTGTGAGTCGGCATCGACTCCGTGACAGCAAGTTTTTTGTTTTATGTTTCGGTGGATCCCAAGATTCGGATCCTGGTCCTGGCGCGTAGGCTAACGTGGCGCCTTCCCCATCGTTTGTCGCCGTCCTCGGCTCAAAGATGGATCCATCAGCCAGTCCAGGCTTATGGGGGGAAGCTCAGAACCTCTCCCGGAGCCACTGGGCCTCTCTCTGCCCCTGGATGTGACCGATGGGTGTGGACTTAGAGAGGACAATGGGCATGCATGCCCACACTCACACTCAGGCACTCACACACACTCATGCTCACACACAAACACAGGCACTTGCTCACTCAGATGCACAAGCATGTGTATGCATGCTGACAATCACACACCCTTATTCATTCTTGGGCTCAACCCCACACGTAGACCCACGTCTACTCCCACCGAAAGCCCCCTGGCTCTAGAACAACAGGAGGCTGAGTCCAGCACGCATGGTCTCTGGGGAGGTGATCAGGTGACCCCAATCCAATCTGCTCATCAAAAGCCCAGTGGAGCACCCCCACCACAGCCAGCCCCCTCAGGAGTGTACCAGATGCCAGACAGAAGTGCCTAGTCCAGAGGGGGCCGAGCTCTCTCCCTGGGTCCTCGGGCCAGTGAGGGGCAAGGCCCACTTCGAAGGCCTGTCCCGGCTGCTGAGCCCCAGCCTGCAGAGCCGAGAAAGTCAAGGGCTTGCTGTGCTGATGGACACCCATGCTGTTCACTGGATTAGAGAATGCAGGGAGACCCCCCCAGGCGCTGTCCAGGGATGAGGGGCCTTGCAGGAAAGAACAACGGTGCTGGCACCAGACCGAGGCAGGGGAACCCTAGCTGGAGTCGCTGTGGTGCCAATTGACAGGCTGACCCTCCGAAGAAAGGCCCGGAGACCAGCGTCTGAAAGGCCAGCCACCGAGACCCTGTGGGGCACCCTCTGACTCTGGGGTGTCAGGAGTTAGCGCTCCCATGGGGGAGTCCTAGGGGCCCCTCCGATGATCAAAAGGGAGGGTCCGGTCGGACAGCTGTGGTGCACACCCCAAAGGCAGGTGTGGACCCCACGGCAGTGAATTTGACACCCACCTGGAATGGCCTCCAGGTGGGCCGCTGGCCCAGGAAGGGAGAGGCTGACAAAGATCAGATGGGGTGAGAGGAGATGCTCTGTAAGGGGAGAGCCCAGAGCTGGTGGGCAGGGCCTGCTTTAGACCACTCACCTGGGGAGGGGGCGGAGCAAAGGCGCTATTGGCCGCCAGCCAGCGGGAGGTATGGAGGCTTGCTGTTGAATTGTGCTGGGTAGGGCAGGGTCAGAGAGCTTCGGAGCCTGGGCCCACCACCCCCATCCTCCAGTTCTGGCAGCATTTCCTGAATCTCCTGGAAAGTTTGGGACCCCAGCCAGGCCAGGCCCCCTCTCGTACGGCATTCCCCCACCTCACGGCCAGGTGTTGGAGGATAGGAAGGTCATCAGCTACCAGCCCACGGGCACCTGTCCTGGGTCACTAAGGCCAAGATGGGGCACAGCGGGGTCTGATGGGTGCAGCACTCCATCCTGCTCCCCTGTGCCCGCAGAGCGCCCCTGGCGGGGTGGTTGTTTGTGTGGTTGGGTGCCAAGGAGCAGGCCCCGGACCCATAGCCACACGTGCACAACAGAACAAGCACCGCCGGTCCTGCGCCGTCTTCACACTGGTGCTCACACGCTGTGTCCACCCATCTCATCGAGGGACTTCCTCTTGTTCGCTGCCCCTCCGCTTTACCAGGCATGATGCCCTTCTCTAGGGACTGGGGTCTCCTGACAACAGGCCCAAAGTACGTGAGACCAAGTCTCGCCATCCTTGCCTCTAAGGAGCGCTCTGGCGGTACTTCTTCCAGGACAGACGTGTTTGTCCTTTGGGCCGTCCACAGTCCGTCCGATCCTCTTCTCCAGCCCCGTCATTCAAAGGCATCGATTCTCCGCCGCCCATCCTTATTCAGGGTCCGACTCTCCCAGGCTGATGAGCCGAAGGGAGATGCTGTGGCTGGGGTCGGACGGACGCGCTCTGGTCCTCAGCACAGCACCCGAGCTTCCCAAACCTTGAAAGAAGTCTCAGGCGGCAGATGGACCCAATGCAGTACGTCCTTGCGCTCGACTGCTGCATCTGTGAGCACTGCAGCTGGAGCCCAGCAAGACGGGACTCTGGACCACGTCAGCCTTTGCTCCGCTTACCATCCTGTGCCCTACTGGCCCCCGTGGGAGGAGTGGGGCCTTCTTT